AATACATTTCTCATTTCCTGTTTTTTTCAGAATTCCGAATTTGTTCTGGACAAACTTCAACAAAAAACCTAGTCAGAGTGAATCACTCAAGTGCAGAGGAATTCCACGGATTCCTGTGCAAGAATTGAGGAAGAAAGTTGAATTTTTACCCTTCGTAAGGGTTCGAGGTGAAATACATTTCTCATTTCCTGTTTTTTTTCAGAATTCCGAATTTGTTCTGGGCAAACTTCAACAAAAAAACCTAGTCAGAGTGAAACACTCAAGTGCAGAGGAATTCCACGGATTCCTCTGCAAGAATTGAGGAGGAAAGTTGAATTTTGACCCTTCGTAAGGGTTCGAGGTGAAATACATTTCTCATTTCCTGTTTTTTTCAGAATTCCGAATTTGTTCTGGACAAACTTCAACAAAAAAACCTAGTCAGAGTGAAACACTCAAGTACAGAGGAATTCCACGGATTCCTCTGCAAGAATTGAGGAGGAAAGTTAAATTTTGACCCTTCGTAAGGGTTCGAGGTGAAATACATTCTCATTTCCTGTTTTTTTCAGAATTCCGAATTTGTTCTGGACAAACATCAACAAAAAAAACCTAGTCAGAGTGAAACACTCAAGTACAGAGGAATTCCACGGATTCCTCTGCAAGAATTGAGGAAGAAAGTTAAATTTTGACCCTTCGTAAGGGTTCGAAGTGAAATACATTTCTCATTTCCTGTTTTTTTCAGAATTCCGAATTTGTCCTGGGCAAACTTCAACAAAAAAAACCTAGTCAGAGTGAAACACTCAAGTGCAGAGGAATTCCACGGATTCCTGTACAAGAATTGAGGAAGTAAGTTGAATTTTGACCCTTCGTAAGGGTTCAAAGTGCAATACATTTCTCATTTCCTGTTTTTTTCAGAATTCCGAATTTGTTCCGGGCCAACTTCAACAAAAAAAACCTAGTCAGAATGAAACACTCAAGTACAGAGGAATTCCACGGATTCCTGTACAAGAATTGAGGAAGTAAGTTGAATTTTGACCCTTCGTAAGGGTTCGAGGTGAAATACATTTCTCATTTCCTGTTTTTTTCAGAATTCCGAATTTGTTCTGGACAAACTTCAACAAAAAACCTAGTCAGAGTGAATCACTCAAGTGCAGAGGAATTCCACGGATTCCTGTGCAAGAATTGAGGAAGAAAGTTGAATTTTTACCCTTCGTAAGGGTTCGAGGTGAAATACATTTCTCATTTCCTGTTTTTTTCAGAATTCCGAATTTGTTCTGGACAAACTTCAACAAAAAAACCTAGTCAGAGTGAAACACTCAAGTAGAGAGGAATTCCACGGATTCCTGTGCAAGAATTGAGGAGGAAAGTTGAATTTTGACCCTTCGTAAGGGTTCGAGGTGAAATACATTTCTCATTTCCTGTTTTTTTCAGAATTCCGAATTTGTTCTGGACAAACTTCAACAAAAAAACCTAGTCAGAGTGAAACACTCAAGTACAGAGGAATTCCACGGATTCCTCTGCAAGAATTGAGGAGGAAAGTTAAATTTTGACCCTTCGTAAGGGTTCGAGGTGAAATACATTCTCATTTCCTGTTTTTTTCAGAATTCCGAATTTGTTCTGGACAAACATCAACAAAAAAAACCTAGTCAGAGTGAAACACTCAAGTGCAAAGGAATTCCACGGATTCCTGTGCAAGAATTGAGGAAGTAAGTTGAATTTTGACCCTTCGTAAGGGTTCGAGGTGAAATACATTCTCATTTCCTGTTTTTTTCAGAATTCCGAAATTGTTCTGGGTCAACTTCAACAAAAAATCCTAGTCAGAGTGAATCACTCAAGTGCAGAGGAATTCCACGGATTCCTGTGCAAGAATTGAGGAGGAAAGTTGAATTTTGACCCTTCGTAAGGATTCGAGGTGAAATACATTTCTTATATCCTTTTTTTTTATCAGAATTCCGAATTTGTTCTGGGCAAACTTCACCAAAAAAAAACCTAGTCAGAGTGAAACACTCAAGTACAGAGGAATTCCACGGATTCCTGTGCAAGAATTGAGGAGGAAAGTTGAATTTTGACCCTTCGTAAGGGTTCGAAGTGAAATACATTTCTCATTTCCTGTTTTTTTCAGAATTCCGAATTTGTTCTGGGCAAACATCAACAAAAAAAACCTAGTCAGAGTGAAACACTCAAGTGCAAAGGAATTCCACGGATTCCTGTGCAAGAATTGAGGAAGTAAGTTGAATTTTGACCCTTCGTAAGGGTTCGAGGTGAAATACATTCTCATTTCCTGTTTTTTTCAGAATTCCGAAATTGTTCTGGGTCAACTTCAACAAAAAATCCTAGTCAGAGTGAATCACTCAAGTGCAGAGGAATTCCACGGATTCCTGTGCAAGAATTGAGGAGGAAAGTTGAATTTTGACTCTTCGTAAGGGTTTTAAGTGAAATAAATTTCTCATTTTCTGTTTTTTCAGAATTCCGAATTTGTTCTGGGCAAACTTCAACAAAAAAATCCTAGTCAGAGTGAAACACCCAAGTACAGAGGAATTCCACGGATTCCTCTGCAAGAATTAAGGAGGAAAGTTGAATTTTGACCCTTCGTAAGGGTTCGAGGTGAAATACATTTCTCATTTCCTGTTTTTTTCAGAATTCCGAATTTGTTCTGGACAAACTTCAACAAAAAACCTAGTCAGAGTGAATCACTCAAGTGCAGAGGAATTCCACGGATTCCTGTGCAAGAATTGAGGAAGAAAGTTGAATTTTTACCCTTCGTAAGGGTTCGAGGTGAAATACATTTCTCATTTCCTGTTTTTTTCAGAATTCCGAATTTGTTCTGGACAAACTTCAACAAAAAACCTAGTCAGAGTGAATCACTCAAGTGCAGAGGAATTCCACGGATTCCTGTGCAAGAATTGAGGAAGAAAGTTGAATTTTTACCCTTCGTAAGGGTTCGAGGTGAAATACATTTCTCATTTCCTGTTTTTTTCAGAATTCCGAATTTGTTCTGGACAAACTTCAACAAAAAACCTAGTCAGAGTGAATCACTCAAGTGCAGAGGAATTCCACGGATTCCTGTGCAAGAATTGAGGAAGAAAGTTGAATTTTTACCCTTCGTAAGGGTTCGAGGTGAAATACATTTCTCATTTCCTGTTTTTTTCAGAATTCCGAATTTGTTCTGGACAAACTTCAACAAAAAAACCTAGTCAGAGTGAAACACTCAAGTACAGAGGAATTCCACGGATTCCTCTGCAAGAATTGAGGAGGAAAGTTAAATTTTGACCCTTCGTAAGGGTTCGAGGTGAAATACATTCTCATTTCCTGTTTTTTTCAGAATTCCGAATTTGTTCTGGACAAACTTCAACAAAAAAATCAAGTCAGAGTGAATCACTCAAGTGCAGAGGAATTCCCCGGATTCCTGTGCAAGAATTGAGGAGGAAAGTTGCATTTTGACCCTTCGTAAGGGTTCCAAGTGAAATACATTTCTCATTTCCTGTTTTTTTCAGAATTCCGAATTTGTTCTGGGCAAACTTCAACAAAAAAAACCTAGTCAGAGTGAAACACTCAAGTCAGAGTGAGGAATTCAAGTGCAGAGGAATTCCACGGATTCCTGTGCAAGAATTGAGGAGGAAAGTTGAATTTTGACCCTTCGTAAGGGTTCGAGGTGAAATACATTTCTCATTTCCTGTTTTTTTCAGAATTCCGAATTTGTTCTGGACAAACTTCAACAAAAAAATCAAGTCAGAGTGAAACACTCAAGTGCAGAGGAATTCCACGGATTCCTGTGCAAGAATTGAGGAAGAAAGTTGAATTTTGACCCTTCGTAAGGGTTCGAGGTGAAATACATTTCTCATTTCCTGTTTTTTTCAGAATTCCGAATTTGTTCTGGGCAAACTTCAACAAAAAAAACCTAGTCAGAGTGAAACACTCAAGTACAGAGGAATTCCACGGATTCCTGTGCAAGAATTGAGGAGGAAAGTTGAATTTTGACCCTTCGTAAGGGTTCGAGGTGAAATACATTTCTCATTTCCTGTTTTTTTCAGAATTCCGAATTTGTTCTGGACAAACTTCAACAAAAAAATCAAGTCAGAGTGAATCACTCAAGTGCAGAGGAATTCCCCGGATTCCTGTGCAAGAATTGAGGAGGAAAGTTGCATTTTGACCCTTCGTAAGGGTTCCAAGTGAAATACATTTCTCATTTCCTGTTTTTTTCAGAATTCCGAATTTGTTCTGGGCAAACTTCAACAAAAAACCTAGTCAGAGTGAATCACTCAAGTGCAGAGGAATTCCACGGATTCCTGTGCAAGAATTGAGGAGGAAAGTTGAATTTTGACCCTTCGTAAGGGTTCGAGGTGAAATACATTTCTCATTTCCCATTGTTTTTTTCAGAATTCCGAATTTGTTCTGGACAAACTTCAACAAAAAATCAAGTCAGAGTGAAACACTCAAGTGCAAAGGAATTCCAAGGATTCCTGTGCATTGAGAAAGAAAGTCGTTTTGACCTTTCGTAGGGTTCGAGTTAAAATACATTTTATTTCTGTTTTTTTTCAGATTTCCGAATTTGTTCTGGAAAACTTCAACAAAAAAATTAGTCAGATTGCAGAGGAATTCCACGGATTCCTGTGCAAGAATTGAGGGGAAAGTTGAATTTTGACCCTTCGTAAGGGTTCGAATGAAATACATTTCTCATTTCCTGTTTTTTTCAGAATTCCGAATTTGTTCTGGGCAAACTTCAACAAAAAAATCAAGTCAGAGTGAAACACTCAAGTTGCAGAGGAATTCCACGGATTCCTGTGCAAGAATTGAGGAGGAAAGTTGAATTTTGACCCTTCGTAAGGGTTCGAAGTGAAATACATTTCTAAAAAAACCTATTCTCACTATTTTTTGAAGTTTTTTGTTTTCAATGATTTAGAGAGTGAAGAAAAATGGGTTCCGGATCAAAAAATCTGAAAAATCTGTTGGGGGAAGAATTGCAAAGGCAGGTTTTTCAAATTCAATTTCAGATTCAAAAAACCCCAAAACAATTGCGCACTTACCCGAACTCAACCCGTAGGAATTCGGCGAAAGGAGCCCAGATGTAACTGTTGCCATTGCAGCCAACATTCAGTCATTCCTGAAACAAGTTTCCTACAATTAATTGTTTATATATAAAGCAAACGCATATAAGGGAAAGGGGCATAAAACGAAGAAGATAATAAAATCAAACGAGTAACAGTAAATCATATTTTCAATAAAGGCAATTTTTGTGCAGAACGCGAAGTTATTGCAGGAAAGCAATAAACTTTTATAACGACGTCGACTGTAAATTTTAAATACAATAAAATATAATTTTAATCTCTCAAGTAGGCTGGACCTTTTTTTTTCGGAAAAGTGAATTGTAATAATTTAAAACGCTAACGAAATTCGGAAGCTACGCCGAAAAAAGAGAAGAATTCGAATTTAACAAATTTAAATGACCGACGATAAGATCGGCATTTAAATTTATTTCATAAATTCTTAATTAAAAACTTGTAAAAGATGTTAAAACTTCCACATAAAAGTTGCGTCTACCGGTTTATTAAGCGATCAATCTTATCTTCGGATTTTTCCCTCTCATTTGTAAGAATTCGGTGTGACAGAGTTTACTTTTCCGTCCGTGTCGCGACGCGAAAGTGGAAAACCGCCGCAGTCTTTTAACTACTATTGCAGTAATTTATTGCTCTAAACGCTCTGGTGCAGTAAATTAATTCTAATTTGATGCGAAATTGGCGAACGGGCAAAATTTGCAGGTACTAAAATTACAACAGATTAGCACACCATCAATTATCTAACTAGATTTCTTTGGGATTTTTTGGGTGCTCGTTTAGAAAGTTCTTGGGATTAGGCGTAATTTTTTTGGAAAATTAAATATTGTGGGTGATCTTAATATTAACATTCGGGCTGTGGTTCTTCTCTTTTGAAAAATGAATGCGATCAATGAAGGACGCGGAAAAATGAGAAAGAGGCATAGTAGTTTTGGGCGATTTCAACATAGCCATTTACATTTCGAAACTGGACTATCGAAAAATAAACCGGTTAAAATGGCTACACTCGCATCCCAGCTTAACATAAAATTGCAATTTTTCGCGCGTAATACCACGAGGGAGAATTAACGAGTTCCAATCAGCTGCTGAAGATTAAGCAACGCAATAGAATTAATCGAGAATTAATTTGTATATGTGGTAGATTTCCAAATTAACGAAAGCACACCCCAACCCCTCCCCAATTTCCGAATCTCGCTAGAGAAGGCTCCCCCACGTGGCGAACACAGGAACGTTTTGGGGGTGACCGTTCCAAAGCGGAGGTTGGGAGATATGGAATATCTTCCAGGTAAAAGAGATCGATGAAAGGTGATTATAATAGTGCAGAAGACTTATAACTTGGGGAGAAATGTAGAGCCGGGGGGTACGGAATACCCCCAGACTCCCCGATGCTACGCTCGTTTTCATGACATTCAGCCCCTAAGATTGCTGTGGTAGTTTTTCGTAAGGGGCTTTAGAATATTCCTTCCCCGACAGGTATATTCCATACTCCACGAGTTCATAGTGTTCCTTATGATAGTCTCTTTCTAACAGTCAGGGTTTCTATGGTATTTGCGCTATACGCTATGGGGAGGAATGTAGAACCGGGGGGTCTGGGGAGTATGGAATACCCCCCAGCTTCAGCAAGAACCGATTTAATAAGATCTTCGTATTCCATACCCTCCGATCTTACGTTCTTTTCAGCCCTAAGGATTGCTGTGGTAGTTTTTCATAAGGGACTTTAGAATATTCCTTCCCCGACAGGTATATTCCATACTCCACGAGTTCATAGTGTTCCTTATGATAGTCTCTTTCTAACAGTCAGGGTTTCTATGGTATTTGCGCTATACGCTATGGGGAGGAATGTAGAACCGGGGGGTCTGGGGAGTATGGAATACCCCCCAGCTTCAGCAAGAACCGATTTAATAAGATCTTCGTATTCCATACCCCCCGATCTTACATTCTTTTCAGCCCTAAGGATTGCTGTGGTAGTTTTTCATAAGGGGCTTTAGAATATTCCTTCCCCGACAGGTATATTCCATACTCCATGAGCTCATGGTGTTCCTTTTGATGGTCCTTTCTAACAGTCAAGGTTTCTATGGTATTTGTGCTATACGCTTTGGGGAGGAATGTAGAACCGGGGGGTCTGGGGAGTATGGAATACCCCCCAGCTTCAGCAAGAACCGAATTAATTAGATTTTCGTATTCCATACCCCCCGATCTTACGTTCTTTTCAGCCCTAAGGATTGCTGTGGTAGTTTTTCATAAGGGGCTTTAGAATATTCCTTCCCCGACAGGTATATTCCATACTCTATGAGCTCATGGTGTTCCTTTTGATAGTCCTTTCTAACAGTCAAGGTTTCTATGGTATTTGTGCTATACGCTTTGGGGAGGAATGTAAAACCGGGGGGTCTGGGGGGTATGGAATACCCCCCAGCTTCAGCAAGAACCGAGTTAATAAGATCTTCGTATTCCATAACCCCCGATCTTACGTTCTTTTCAGCCCTAAGGATTGCTGTGGTAGTTTTTCATAAGGGGCTTTAGAATATTCCTTCCCCGACAGGTATATTCCATACTCCACGAGTTCATAGTGTTCCTTATGATAGTCTCTTTCTAACAGTCAGGGTTTCTATGGTATTTGTGCTATACGCTTTGGGGAGGAATGTAAAACCGGGGGGTCTGGGGGGTATGGAATACCCCCCAGCTTCAGCAAGAACCGAGTTAATAAGATCTTCGTATTCCATAACCCCCGATCTTACGTTCTTTTCAGCCCTAAGGATTGCTGTGGTAGTTTTTCATAAGGGGCTTTAGAATATTCCTTCCCCGACAGGTATATTCCATACTCCACGAGTTCATAGTGTTCCTTATGATAGTCTCTTTCTAACAGTCAGGGTTTCTATGGTATTTGCGCTATACGCTATGGGGAGGAATGTAGAACCGGGGGGTCTGGGGAGTATGGAATACCCCCCAGCCTCCAACAAGAACCAATTTTATTAGATCTTAATATTCCATACCCCTCAGACCCCTCGGTCCTACGTTCTTTCTCATGGCATTCAGCAGTAAGGATTGCTGCGGTAGTTTTTCATAAGGGGTTATAGAATATTCCTTCCCCCACAGGTATATTCCATACCCCACGTGCTCATGGTGTTCCTTTTGATAGTCCCTTTCTAGCAATCAGGATTTCTAAGATATTTGCGATACACACTTTGGGGAGCAATGTAGAACCGGTGGGTATGATACCCCCAGCTCCAGTAAGAACGGATTTCACGTTCTCTTCCCTGTAACTATCATTAGGGCTTCGTATGCTGGAGGTATTCCAAAAGATTCTTCTCCCTATAACAATCAGAAGGTCTTCGTATTGATGGGGGAGATCTCCAAGGGCTACAGTGTTCTTGATCACATTCAGTCCTCAGGTCGTTTTGCCTAAGCAACTATAAAAACTACATTTCTTGACGAGTATTTCATATACTTTCAGATACTGGGGGGCCTGGAGTACCCCAGCAACACATTCTATGCAAAAAATTCTGTGAAATTAGCTCGAGAATTTCTGTTACTGATCCGTATAAGCTCCTCTTAACATTTCGGAAGAAAGCTCAACACCGGAGTCTAGGGGGGAGGAGGAGTTTGGAAAGCTCCACGGGATCAGTAATTCTGGCATTTTAATCGTAATTTCACTGAACTGTAATCCGTACGAATACAATTTAGCAATACATTTTTGCATATTTCCTGTGAAGTTACCGCAATTGATAACTCGTTGGACATTTATTTTGCATACCTAATTTTCAAACTTGGCAGTTTTTCTGAGAAATGAATCCTGCGCGTATACATTTTATAAGAGTAATTTAAGGGATGAGACGTAACAAGCGAAACATTTGCTATAATTAGTGTAAAACATTATTTAACTATTCATAGACATATGTTGTTATTGCTTATTTCTCAATTTATTGCTGGATGGTTATTGCTAACTTAGAAGGGATTCGGTTGTGCACCTTCCGTGGAAGTGCCCCGCCTGCATACTTATTTGTAAACGGCCTTCCCCACAACTATTTCGGAATGTGTGCCATAGGGGACTAGTGCTAAGAATATTCGGCTTGCAACTGAGCGGGTCGGGTTCGATTCCTTGCATGAAAAGTTTTTTTTTCACAAAAATGCTTGCTACGGAGTCTGCCATTTACGAATATGCACCCCGCCTGCCCCTCACAATATACAGAATGTTACGTTTCGAAAACAGCGCCATCTTGGAAAAAAAAACTGTTACAAAACGCGCAGATTTACCGTAAACGTCTTTGTAATTCCGGGTATAATGATGTAACACACTTTTTTGTAAACAATTTTACGTAACCTTTGATGCCACTCAACAATTAACGTCTAAATTTCGAACACAATAAGCACCAAAATAAGGCAGTACACAACAAAAAGAGATTGCTCATTAATACCAATTTATCGTTTAATTAAAATCAACAATCCCGCGGACGCACAATTTTTGATTTATATACTACCACCTCTTCCCATAGCAATAATGGTTTAATTGAGCCCACGCCATTTCCAAGTAAAATCGAACAATTAAATATAACAATTAATAAAATATAAAATAATTTATAATCACGGTGCGTCGTAATTACTTCGAAAAAGGAGACTCATTTTTTCCAGCAAAACGTGTGTGTAATAACATTATAAGTAAGCGCGCGAATAATGGAAAAAGAGGTCAAATTAGAAACTCGAAATGGGATGTGAATTTGTAGGTTTTGAATAAAATCGCTTTGCATATGGTGGTCACACCTAAATATGAGTAGAACAATAACTATCCGTCATTAATATTTATTATTACCTATACGAAATACTTTTTCGGCCAAATGCGAATGCGCTCCGTCATGTTGAACGCAACTATTATTATAATAAAATATAAGCACGTAACTTGAGGAAGAAGAAGAAGGAAAAAACAATTCAAATGGCCATCATCGTTATAATAAACAAAAGAATAATAAAACGTGAAAAACATTTTTAATGCAATTCGCAGTGCCGTAAACGATCGCGCGGGTAATTTCTACATTTAAATATTAAAAACGTGCGTGAT